CAGTGGTCGAATCTAATAACCTTGTGAGAACAGTGATCGGTCACACCTAAAAAAATAATTCCACAACTGGATACCTCGATTACAAAATATCAAATCCATACAATTACATGCAACATACAACCTGATATAAACAGAGCTTATCCGGCTCCATCGTGCCCATGTCTGGCGGCCGGTTGTGCCGCTTGAAGTGTTGCTCCGGCCGCCAACGAGGTAGAGTAAGACATGGGACTCACACTGGCTCACGGGACTCGAGGCGCCACCGTCTTCAATGCCCTACTCTTCCTCGTCGGAGCCCGGAGCTTTCACGATGTCATTCAATGTGAGATCGATGATGTATCCGTCTTGTTCGAGGAGGCCGGCACGTCCACCACGACGCGGCTGCGCTGCCCGGGGTTGCATGCCATCCGTTTAGGCGCAGGAGAGTGCGACGCTGCCTCGTTGATGTCGTCCGCGAGGGCTATCGTGGCCTCCCACGTCCTCTACCTTGCACGATGGGCACACCGCACCATACCCTCAGCGGACGGGCCACGGGTGGCCTCATCATCGGCGCACCAACGAAGGGGTTGCGCATTTGCCATGGTGTTCGGATGCTAGAAAGCCTCCGCCGAGACAGCGACGACACGATGCACGCTAGATCCACGCACCATTTCGGCGGACGCTATGGATTCCCGGCGGATTGATTCCGACCCCTGTCGGGCATTCTCTTGCGGGTGGGGTGGACCGCAATGCGGACGACCATCTCCTCCCAGGACCCGGCTAGGATGAGGTCCCACTTCAAAGATCGGCTGACGGAGGACTCTAATCTGCTGCCTGCCATGGCGAAGAAGGCTGGAGTTCGCTGGGAGTGAGTTTGGGCAGAGGGGAGGGAAGTGGAGTGTCTAGGGTTTCGTCAGGGGAGTGGATGTGGACGAATACATGTGGGGTTGGGGTTGGCCAACGTGGGTCGAATCCGACGTGGCGGACATGCTCATGCCTCCTCATATCCATCCTAGATTTGAGTTGTATATGAGTGGTGCCAGTCAGCCTAGGCGTTTGAGGCCGGTTTGAGACGCCCGGCTTGATCACCTTTTTTTTACCGGTCAATAACCGGTCCATCCTTCCGACCGTCCATCCAGGCGTTTGAGACAGGTTTGAGGCACCCTGCTCTAGATGCTTTGAGACCTACCAGAAAGAATAGCCTACTCCAAAAATATCTTATAATTTGGGGCAGAGGAAGTACATTACTATATTCTCTACAATTTGGAAATTAAATATCAGAATTACTATGACCATATCAACCCTCGTTTACAAAGGAAAGTCACATCGGAAATTCGCAGCCAAGCCCTGCCGTCCGCTTGATTTGCCTCGCAATTCGCAAGGTAGTTGAATCTCGGGCACAATAAAACAGGAAAATCTCTCAAAAAGCTTTATGTTTCAACAATGAAACTTATTGTTTTTGCATCTAAAAATGCCAAGTTTCAACAAGTTTCAGAGATATAATTTTAAGCAATTTTTTCTGTCGGCGTAGACACAAAAAATTGATTTCTATCGATCGCTCGTACTAAATATCAACATTGAAACTTAACATATTTTTTGGAAGTTGCCAAAATATATTTAAAATAGATCTTATTTCAAAGCACTGGTCACGACAAACACGAATATGAAATCAGAAGCCAAAATAAAAAACCGGCATCAGGGACCTGAGTGGCCCTGCACTTGTGTGCCGCAAATCCTCGTCCACAGCTGCATGCACGTTAATTAGTGTCACCACTCCTATTTGCAAAACAAACAAAAAAATGTCACCACTCAACCTTTATTTTGATCGGTGACTTCATCTACTCTTTTTTTTTCATCTGCACTTCATTTAGTGGAATACTCCCTTCGGTTTTATTTAGGGCATAATTGGTTTGGTGCCAAAAATTGGCATGCCAATATTTGGCATTGTGCCAAATATTGGCTACTACTTGGTTCGTTACCGAGTTGTCTTGCCTATCTCACATAAAGTTGCCAATAGTTGGCAAATCTTGATATTGCCAATATTTGACAATGCCAACATTTGGCATCAAACCAATCATGTTGTTACTCAGCATATTAGCTTTGACTGAAATCAAACTTTATAAAGTTCGACCAAGTTTGTAGAAAACATTATGAACATTTACAGTAAGAAATTTATATGATGTGAAAATATATGCAATGATGAACCCAAATGGTATTGATTTGGTGGTGCATATGTTTTTTTACAAGCTTGTTGAAAGTATATAAAGTTTGACTTTAGACAAACCTAATATGCGGATTAAATAATAAGGGAGGGAGTATAAAGTTGCGATGTGTCATGGCCAATAAGAATTTGACAATTTGAACTAAGTATCTGCTTTTATTTAGCATAATGAATTAAGTATCTGCCTAATGACACTTGGACTTTACCACATGTTGCGGAATCTCCTTAAAAACGTCCCACATAAAGAAAACCCCGGCAAGTTCCAGTTGACGCTGCAAGTCAACTTACTTTTCATGGGTTCGTTTCTCACTTGGATCATGTACCTCCGGCCGACTCCAATGCTTTGATATTTGATTCACAAGCAAATGCAACACTTTGCACGATCTTGATTTGAGCATAGAGTTTTTAAAAAACAGTGTTAGCCGCGGCGGAACTGCAACCATTCCCTGATTATCCACTTCGTATGGCGTACACGTATTGCTGCTCGACAGTGGGGCCATTGTAGTGGACAGTCACTTCAATCATAGAAAAGCTTCGTCGCCCCAGCTGCCTTTGCACAAAGTGATCACTGTTTGCAGCCTCTACCACAAATAATGCGGCGTTACCTATATAAAAAAACAAAAATAATGCACCATTAGTTGCCCGGATCGTGAGGCGTTCCAGTTGGAGAGCGGTGCTGGAGAACTGGGTACCCCTTCGCTAATGAGAAGGGCACCTACGGCTAGGGTTTTCTGTGCCTACCACCAGCGTTGTGGTCGGCGGAGTCACAGTGGATTTCGGTCCTTGTATGTGGGAAGACTTCATTTCTGTAGGGCCTTAGCATGATAATTTTTTGACTGTCTACTACAATAAGATTTGTCCGGTTTTGATGAGGGTGGGGCGATGACGGCTGCTCACCTTTGGTTCGCTCCAGTGCTTCTAGTCCTCACTAGGTGGTCTACGAACCTCGATATAATTTTTACTTCTGGTGTCTTTTGAACTACCTTGACAGTTGATGATAGATCAGAAGTTTTCCTCGCAAGAAAGAATGAGAGCGGGTGGTGCTATATCGGGACAATGGCATCGGAAGGATCATGAGTGGTGGCCTAATGTCAGGTAGATAGTGAGTTTGTCGCTCCGGTTGTCGCGGTCGAAGGACTCGGTCCCGCTGGTAAGTCGGGCAACACCTCCGGTTGTTTGGCACAACGTTCATGGACTAGGGCGGTCGTCTCATATGATAAGGCTACATGATGTCCAAGTCATGCGACATTATGGCTCGCGTGTGAGTGGGCCGAGGGACGTCGGAGTGGCAACTTCGGGTTCGTTGTACTCCCTCTGTCCCAATTTTTTTTTTGAGAACCCCGTCCCAAAATTCTTGTCTTATATTTATTTAGATGGATGTATCTAACATTAAAATGTGAATAGATACATCCGTATGTAGACAAATTTAAGACAGGTATGTGTTTTGTGCAACTATTGCCTAATGTTGTGTGGTGCGCGTTTTTGTTGTTTTCGTGTCTTTTGACCCTGTTTTTCTTATAAACATGGTGTTTTATTTGTTTTTTATCCAGATTCCTTGTAAATTAGACCAATCACTGTTTTTTTAAATGGGGCCATATTTAGGTGGGTGCGTCTCCCTCCGGTTTGCCGAGTAGTACTGGAATTCGATAATCGTATTCAAACCCCTGAACTATGGCAGCCAAAAAAATGCAAGCGCGAGAATACTGTGATATTTTGTGTGTGGCTATCACTTGTAAGTTTACACGCAACATGTTGCATAAATGGCTTTTGCTTTGTTGATTAAATAATTAAAAGTTGGTTACCGAAAGCAAGGTATCACAAGGATAATATGTAAAAGCAACAGGCGGAGTTTGGCATGGACAAACATGGAGGGATTAAATTCACCTGCCCGACGAGACTGACTTGGGTCAAGTCATGCATCCATGCAAATATTCTCTTGGTAACTAATAAGCCAAGATATACACAGCGCACAGGTCTAGTGCCCTTAGATGCTCACTAACCTCGCCCATACTTATGGATGACACAAAGAACAATCTAGGAGAGTAACACCTATGTAGATGCACTTAGGGCGTCTTCAACGGTAACCCGCAAATTTCCTTCTGCATCCGTCCATGAACAAATAGATGTGGAAGGATACCATCCAATCGCAGCCACATACATTTCAAACCGCATTTCAACTAACAGACTGAAATTCACGCAAACCGATTGATATTCATCGAAATTTGGATTAAATATAGCACAAATGATCCATACATAGCATGCGAATAAGTCTAGTGCAACAATGTCTCAAATTTGACTACATTAACCAGATGTCCAACAAATTTTTCATCAATGGATCATGTCGTCCCACACATACTGCTCATTTAGCTTTATCCAACAGTGTGTAGGTAAATACCCAGGCGCCTCCATATCCGCCCCATATTTGGGTTTGATATGAGGAGTGCCGGTCAGCCCGGCGTTTGAGACCCGTTTGAGGCGTCTGTCTAGGTTAAAATTTCATGATTAGGTCGTCCGCTCGAGCGTTTAAGGCCGGTTTGGAGTGCCCGGCCGTAGATGTTTAAGCTACCTACCGAACTCTAGCTCCATATAAGATTCTCAGGCTACAAAAAAAAGGATGACATGATACAGCCCAACATGAGAGAGAAGAGAAGGCATTGTTTCTCTCTTGGGCAACAAAGGCACTGTGCCACACTATAAAAGGCCATGGCTTCTTCTCCTCATCTGCCATAGCCAACAAACAAGATCTACTAGTGCTACTACACTAGAAGCTGCCATAAGCAAAGAAGAGACAAGAAACAGGACCATGTACCACCATAACAATGGCGAGGTTGCCAGCTTCCACTTCCTCCCGCCCCCAAACCCTTCCTCCTCCTTCACCACCCACCACCACATGAACATGGCCTTGCCACCTCAAGCCTACTTCCCGCCCACCTTCGATCCTGCCGCTCTACTTGCCGGCGACGACGACGTGGCAGCAGCCTTTGAGTTTGACGCTATCCTACTCGAAGAAGCGGCTCACCTCGCCGGCGGCAATGGCTCGCCCAGCTCGGGCTCCGACGCCGGTGGCGGGAACTACCTCCAGGTGGGCGGTCCTGGCGCTGGATTTGGCGCCGCAGAGGAGGAGAGGCGGCGGCGGCGAATGGTCTCGAACCGGGAGTCGGCGCGGCGGTCGCGCATGCGCAAGCAGCGGCAGCTGAGCGAGCTGTGGGCGCAGGTCACCCACCTCCGCGGAGCCAACCGCCGCCTCCTCGACGAGCTCAACCGCGCATTGCGCGGGTGCGCCGACGCCCGCCGCGAGAGCGCCCAGCTCAGGGACGAGAAGGCCAAACTGAATGAGAAGCTCGAGCAGCTGTTGCAGCAATCGGCACCGGAGAAGAAGGCCGCCTCCTCCTCCCCTCCGGCCTCGAGCAATCACAGTGGCCGCTCCTCGGAGCCATGCAAGAGCAGCACAGCTGCTGCAGCTTCTATCGAATGAAATGTTGTTTTTACTCATATATATTATCCACCCAAATTTTTAGAGGATAACTACTACTGTATCAATAATAAGATTATAAGAGCATGTGTTATTGAATAATGATAAATGATTATTTAATGGCGATGGCTGGGGTCATGCATGCATGCACCCTGTAATCAGTTTCCCTATCAGGAATATGTTTTGTGTAACAGGTTTTGGTACTTATCCTGTGTCGATAAATTAACATGGATAGGATGTAGTGCTATATATTTGCAAGTTGCAAAGCTTGTGATGAATGAAACCAATACAACAGTAGCAAGACCAAAGTATGAGAGTGAGAGATCAAGGAAGGATCAAAAACCGGTGAGAACGACAAGTGTTTAGCTTTCCATAATGCGGGTGAACTACAAGGGGAAAATATATAGTGCATTCCACTTTTCTTTATGAAATTTAATGATTATTATTTTGAAATTTGCCTTCCACTTGATGATGTCATGAGTTCAACTTGTATGTAGTGCTTTGTGATTGCTAATGTATCGTCTACTTCGTTGATGCCGACTTACGTACCTACCAGCTGCTTTTCTTGGGCAGCTAAGTCGCCCATAGCATGCTATAGTTTTGCAATGTTGTATCGAACAAGGTTCGACATATGTATCTAGCAATTTTGGCATATGAATGTAGCATCAAGATCTCACAACATATCCTATTCACTGAGATGCTTGTGGGATATGTTCCCAAGAATCTTGAGCAAAAGCACAGTAACATGTGCATGCATGCCGCAAAACAAATCTATGCATGCATGCTTTTTCACAATATATAAATTCCATTGCCATGTGCATGCATAGGTGTGAATGTTTTGTTAATCCAAATGGACAATGAGCTTCAGGAGTTGGTATTGCAGCATGGAAACCTTCAAGCACAGGACAAGTGGATTTGCCAAGGGAAAATGCCTAAAAACTAGGAGGAGGCATATTGTCTATTCAAATGGTTGTGGAAAAATATTTTTGGCTACTCCTGGATGACAGTGTCAACACCAAGAACCTTCCTAAAAAAGGTCCATGCATCTTGGCTGTTACGATTGTGCTTTCTGTAATGAGAGAACCGAAGAAACTTCAGTGCACCTATTCTGGGATTGTTCTTTTGCTCAAGATTGTTGGATGATCATTATACCTTCCAAACAAACAGGTACTTCCATCTATATATGATGAAGCAATTCTCACCAAAACCTGCCTGGAAACTTTGCCATGGACATCATTAGTTTGGGCTGCTGGAGAATTTGGAACTAAAGAGAAATGGCAAGATTTTCAGAAGAGAAGCTCGGAGTGTAAGTGTTAGTGTAATGCATCATTATTCTCAGTTGAAGAAAAGAAAAGGAATCAAGACAGAGAAGTGCCAAAACAAATCCAGAGACAGGTGATCCATTGCAAGTGCAAGTGTTGGTGCAAGTGTGGGTTCAGCATCAGCTCACTGGTTACCAGTTGCCAGGGGGTATGTGTGAACACAAGGGAGAAAAACTTCCCACCAGGGGTGAGATGCTCACATCACACAGGGCCCAAGCAACAGCGCTCAAAAGAGGCAGCGCACGGTGGAACAAGCACCACTGCACTCGATCCACTATGCAATGTTTAACTACGCGGTGGTGTGGACGTGTGGTGGCAACGGAGCTTTCCTCAACTCAACAAGGGGGAACAGCATGAAAGTGCAGGAGCACTTCAACAAACCGAACCAAACCATCCGAGAGGAGCCAACTTGCAGTTGCATGAAAGATGGGAAGGGAAGCTTCAGTTTGCTCAAGTTTCAGGTGGTGCTCCAGGTTGGAAATTAAAGCTTGCCATGGATCGACGTCACGCAGATCGATGCGCCGGAATAATCGGGCATTGTAGGCGGTGCAGTGTCGGCACCGGGAACAGAATATCGCAGGACAATATACCGGTGCCCTTCACATGAAAGGGTTCAGCAGAGGAGCAGGGAAATATGCAAAGCCCGGGGACGTGACCACTGATGCAGGTAAAGAGGTTGAAAAAACATCTCTCTGGAGGAATAATATCGATATCAGTATCACTGTATCAGTATGCTGGCATAAAAGTTGGAAAAGAAATCGCACAGAGGTAGTAGAATAGAAGAAGCTAGTTATCACTATGCCCGTCGACAATTAAACGTGTAAACGGCCACCAAGTAACTGAAATTCCGGAACAGTTGGAGCAAACAGAGAGCAATTGCGCCTGCTTATTCAGTGGTCACAGACAGGCGCATCTCCTGTCCACGGGATGGTGAAACTGGAGCAGGAAAAATGTTGCATATGCAGCAGCTCCACTGACAGCGCCAGAGCGGAGCCAGGAAATCAACTTCACTTCTGCTTCGGTACACCCCCCTTAAACACATCAAGGGCTGAGATTCACCCATACCCCTTCACTGCCAGGGGCACGATCGTCTTATGTAAAAAAAATTGGCCCCGCGCGTCCGCGGCGATACCCCCGTGCGCCTGTGTATACGCGGCTGCGGGACGAGCCGAGCGGCTTGGCAGTCGTGAGGGCGCGAGCTGAGCCGAGCAGTTGGCAGCAGTGAGGGCGTGTTTTTTTAAAAAAAGTTGGCGTTGACCGGTGGGGCATACGTGTGGACGTGGCGCGGACGGCCGTATCGTCGTGCAATAACTGCATTGCAGTAATGGCGGCGTGCATGCAGGCGCCGACTGCTCGCGGCAAATCTCGTGCCGCCCGCCTGGTAGCCTCGTAGTCCGCGCCCTCCACTGCCGCGCGTGCGGTGACCGGGCGCCTGCCGCCAGCCTTCCGCCTCGGGCCGGCAGTAGACGCGACCGGTCGGCTGCCGCCGCAACGGCGCCCGCCCGCCCGCCTTCAGACGCCACCGACGCGTCGACTGCCGCGCCTGCCGTCCTCGCGCCTTCCCACGCCATCGTTGCCGCGTCCAGACGCCACCGACGCCTCGCCTGCCACGACGCGCCTTCACACGCCGCTGTTGTCTCGCTTTGACACGGCACCGCTGTCGCATGTGCCGCCAGCCGGCCGCCTCTTCCTCGGGGCACGCGCCACCGATGGCTCGCCCGCCCACCTTCCTCCCCCGCCTTCTATAAAAGAGCGCGCCACGCCGTGCCATCTCCCTCGCCCCGCCCATCTTTCTTCCTCTCCTCGCCCGCCCATTTCCCTCTCCTCGCCGGCAATGTCTTCCAGCGACTCCGACGAGGGCGCGTGGCCGACCGGCGTCTGGCCGCTGAGCCTCACCATCGCCGACACGGAGCTTATGGCCCGGTACGGCGTGTTGGTGCCGCCGGCAGCCAAGGTGCCGGGGCCATGGCGGATCGGGGCGAACGGCATCCCCACCATGGGACCGCCGCCGACGAGGGAGCAGCTTCGCGAGTTCCTTGGCGGCCGGTACAACCGGAGGGCCCGACGCAAGTTCTGGCGCGGGAAGAACTTCGACATCGTCCTCGGCGCGTTCAGGGACGCGGCGGCCGGCCGCATCGTCGGGGACATTACCGGCGAGGCCGGCACTTCCCGTGGTCGCCGCCACGGCCCACCTCCAGCCAGCCCCACTGCCCCGGCACAGCAGGCGCCCCCTGCCCCGGCGCTGGTCGACATCCCACCGGCGCAGGCCGCCCTCGCGCAAGACGGAGACCCCGACAACACGCCGGGGCTACTTGCGGTGCTGGCCCGGTCGGCAGAGGAGGCGGCGGCGGCCACTCGTGAGGAACGAGAGCGGCTAGCAGCCATAGCGGCGGTGCAGGAGCAGCAGGCGCGGGAAGACAACTGGAGGGATTTTAGCGACGACGGCGGCGACGGCGGCGAAGGAGAGGCAGGCAGTATGGCGCCGGTCGTCGACCTCACCGGCGCCAACGACGACGAGTAGTCTAGTTTTAGGGTATTATATTTAAATTTCGGTATAAGTTATGTAAGAGCAGTGCTTGGTTATGTTTAGGGTTATGTAAAATATTTTGAAATATGAATGAACTCGGAATGGTTTATCTGGGGGAAAATCCGTATGTTTAATTTGATGTTAGTCATGCAATTTGAAAAAATAAACGGAAACATGAATTTCAACGGTACGAGACGATACTCGACACACAAATTGTAGAAAAATCAGTCGCAAAACGCATGCATGGGGCCTTCCCTCATACCCGAAGGGTGTCCGGAGAACTTGTCATGCATGCACAGCAAAAATATATTGTGTCACGTCCGGGGTGTGGTATGTGGTGTTTTCACCTAAATATTATAAAAAAATCTTGAAGCGATAAAAAAGACAGAAAACTTTTCATGCATCCTACTGATGATGGTGGAACACTATAAAAAATGTGGGTACATTTGAAGGCTGTCGGAAAAAAAACTCCTTTCAGAAGGGGCCTTCGGTCCTGCCCGAACGTTCTCCGGAGAAGGAGGCCAATTTTTTGACATATTCAGAATGACCTCAACTTTTGCAAGTGAGTTGGTATGCCCACCCCCACAGTGAATACAAGATTTGAACGTATTTGGACATGAAAAACATGTTGCGTCACGTCCGGGGGTGTGGTATGTGGTGTTTTTGCCAAAAAAATTATAGAAACTTCATAAAGTAAAAAAACCCAGAAAACTTGTCATGCATCGTACTGATGATGGTAGAACACTATGGAAAAAATTTGAGTTAATTTCAAAGATGTCGAAAAAAATTTGAGTTGGTATGGTCACCCTGACATTCAATCCAAGAATTGAATGTATTTGAACACCAAAAAACATTCATAAAGCGATAAAAAATATTTAAAACGTGGCATGCATCCTAGTGATGATGGTGGAACACTATAAAAAATTATAGAAGGCAAAAAAATAGTGATGCAAAAAAAAATTAAGTCCACCTGTGCTTGGACGTCGCAACTGCGCTTAATCGGTCCGGCCCGATCAAGCCGGGTGGCAAAAGGGCCGGCCTTTTGGCCCAGCTACGGCCTGCAGCACAGGCCAACGGCGCAGCTGCGGGGCGGGGCGGAAATCTTGGGAGTTCGAAACGGTGGTGGGAGCTTGGTATATAAGCCGGTGGCGGCG